GAGCTCAAATCCATTACCCTACATTGTTCTGCCACTGCTCTGCTGACTGAACCAACAAGTACTGGTATGAGCTCAAATCCATTACCCTACATTGTTCTGCCACTGCTCTGCTGACTGAACCAACAAGTAGTGTTTCCCAGAAGTGTTTCCAGGGAGCAGAATTTTAAAAATGAAATTTGGAATTGGTTCTCTAGTCTGACTAGACTTAAAGGCTTTCATGGCTCTATTAGCAGAGGTAACTGGGACCTTGGTCATCCATGGCATGCAGTGGCTAAACTGTTATTTAAATTCTCACCTATAGTTATCTGCAGTAAAGTGATTATACAAGGTAAGTGGTGGAACTCCCAAGTATCTGCTGCATTAGAACTTTTTCATAGAAAAAAGGGAATAGTGACTGTGGAGTTGATTCATTGCTTCTAAATATGCTGGAGAACTTAGAGGAAAAAAAATGAGAACACTGAGGATTTAAATTCACAGCTCAAGGTCTAAATTGGGAAACAGAAAGCTTCCATGATTGCCCTGAAATAAAACCTTATTAACTGTACTGCTGATATTCCTCAGGACCCTCCCTTATCAGCTGTTCTGTCTTCTAACTCCATATCCAAACTCAAGTCATGGAAGACCCCAGGGGACCAGGTCAAAAGTGTGACTTGTGAGGTGGTGCCATACACTAAAAGAATCGCAAGATTTCTCCAATTCATATTGGCTGTATGGGGATGTTTCTTAAGGGTGTTAGATTAGGATAGAAGGAATATAATATCGGATTAGCCCTCATTTTAAAAAAATTCGGCATAATAAATAGAGATTCTGGATTCAAGGTGTTAGTTCATGCGGCTGGGAGTAACTAACAATGACTGAAAATGACCCAGTATTGAACACAGGTGAGATGCCAAAACTTCCTTGTTATGATGTTGTATAGAGGAAGTTTTGCAAAGATTTAGGGAGACTGCTTTTACTATAATAGATGTGCTCAGTCACCTGTTAAATATGTTCTTCAGAGGGCATTCCCTTTACCAAGGCTTTGAAAAATAAAGTGGTGGAGGCAGCATTAGAATTCTTAAAGAATTCTGCAGTGGCTAGTCTCTGAAAGCCAGAAATGACATTGAGAAATGCTGCCATAGAACTAGGCTTCTTGAATTTAATGATTATGAAATTCCATAAGGCCATGAAATTAATGGCAGGATTTAACTTCCAGAGACCATGTGTGCATGGTTATTGTAAGGGACAACAGCGCTGAAGTGGTAAAGGGAATTGCTGTAGTCTTAATGTTGGTATCTCCCTAAATTCATACATCGAAACCTAATACCTAATTAAGAGACAGGGCTTTTAGAAGGTGATTAGGTCATGAGGGCTTTGGTGAGAAGTCAAATGGGATAAAAGTATATAAGCTATTCAAGAAAGTTTATCCATATAACTTTTCCTCAGAACTTTCTTGCAACCAATTTTCAAGTCATGTTCCTTCCAAGTCCCTGCCAATCCAGCCAAACTATTAGCCACAGCCCACGAATTAGTGCAGATACATTCCTCCGTCCATTTGTTTTTCCTCCAGGCAAAATGAGTAGCCAGATGCACAGCTGGAATTCTTTCTAACCAAGAGGGTTTTCTTGCTAATCTCATGCAGGATCACCTCTGTGTGGGGTGGTAGATCTACAGCCGTCCACTCTTAGTTGTGCTAGCATATTGTGAAAAATCATTAGTAAACCAGGCCCAAATGTTTTCTCTCTCAGTCAACTAGTCATAAGAAATTCTCTATGAGACCTTAGGTATGAGTTGAGAGAGAGGAAGAAACGTAGCAGTACTAGTAACCCTAACAACCAGAGCCAGTTGCTCGTAGAACTTATTTATGTCTTCAGCATGTAATCAAGACTAATCTACACTTGAGGATGGAGTGATGTTCTGCCCAGGTAATCTGTGCACAGGCTTGGTGGATCAGACATCCCCCATTTATAATGGACAGTCCAGGCTGATTGGAAATTTGATGGCCTATGGTCAGGCATTAAGCCTTCACTGGGATCTAGTAGCAAGCCAAAAATTGTTTCTCAAAACAAAAATAATTATTTGTAGAGAATGACAAAGCTTTGCTCCAAAATCCTAAAGACCTCACTGTGATTCACTAATAGGGGCCCTGCCAGAGGCTCCATATAGGATACTTATGTGCCACTTATTCCTCAAGTACCATCATATCTACTGTGCCATGTACCCCAAATCACAGGGTAGCTTCAATTGCAGCCTGGGCTGACTGCAGATTCTCCTCTTACTCTGTGCACTACACAAAACTGGAAGTTTTTGGGGTTATTAGGAAAATAACTGTGGGGCAGGTGGGTTCAGGGACTTTCATGCCTACTATGAGACAGATTTGAGTCAAAACGTGATTAAATTATCTGACTTCCATAAGGTCCATAGTTTCTTGCTCTGTGAGGTTACAGTGGCAATTTGGGATCACCAGAAATTCTTACCAGTTCAGAGCCAGTAATACAGTAGTCACCAAAAAGTCTGATTTTTCTCCAATACACAGTCATCCTATTAAATAGCCAAAAGGAGCTAAAAACAAATAAATGAATACACACACACACACACACACACACACACACACACAAACACACACACACACACAAAATCCAGGGGGGCGGAAGAAGACTTAACAACTACAACTCCTTGAAGTTGATACGACAAGCAAACAGAAAGAACATTGTGGGGTGGGAGGGAGGAGAGGGAGGAGGGAGGGGGTTTCGGTAATGGGCCACAATAACCAACCTCATTGTATATCGACAAAATAAAATTAGGAAAAAAGTAAATAAAAATTTTTTTAAAAAAGTCTTCCTAGGGAAGGCCAGGAGGCAAATTTATGGTATAAATTTTGGACACTGTAACAGGATCCTTCTTCAAAGAGAACTCCCCGTCCCCACCGCCAAGGAGTTCTGGGTCTGTGAACAGGGTCTCTTATGGAAACTTATCAAGTGAATTCAATTCCCTGGTGTGATGATTCGAATCAGACTTCTGTTCACTAAGTGTAGAGATATAATGCTTATGAAAATCAAGTAAAACTTTAGTAAAATGTCCATATATTTCAGTTCTAAGGACTCCCTAATTAATTGGTCAATACCAAATATCTTTGTAGGTCAAACTATTCCTGTATTAGTCTGTTTGGGCTGATATAACAAAATACCTTAGACTGGGTAATTTATAAACAACAGAAATTTGTTACTTGTAGTTCTGGGGGTAGGAAGCCCAAGATCAAGGCACCAGTAGATCCTGGTGAGTAGTAGTGGCTGGTGAGGTCCTGTTCAGCATAGATGGTGTCTTCTACGTGTCCTCACATGGCAGAAGGGGTAAGAGGGTTCCCTCAAGCCTCCTTTATAAGGACACTAAATCCATTCATGAGGGCTCACCCTCAGGAGAGAGAAATCACAATCACCAGGTACGTATGATGACATGTTCTATCAGTCTGTCTCTTTCACCCACCTTTGTCCTTGATTAATAGGCTCAAGAACAAAGAGACAATGATGGCAGGATGGCAGAAATGGAGATTACTAATGGGCTCAGCAACATGGACTTCCATTCACCAAGGCTAACCTGGCTACAGTCACTACAAAGGGTTCAACCTAACCATAGTGGAGAAGATATTATTTCCTCAATATGGTACTGTTCTATGGAAGGACCAGCCCACCACCTTGATTGCTGGTTGATTACATTTGAACACTTCTATAACAAAAGAGATAGTGGCTTGTTCTCACAGAAATAGTCACTTACTCTGAATATAGATTTGCCTTCCCAGCCTGCAATACTTCTGTCAAAATACCATCTGTGGACTTAACAAATCTCTCATTCACAATTACAGCATTCCACACAGTATTGTTTGTGTTCAGAAAGCTTGTTTAACAGCAAATAAAATGTGGCAATGGGCTTATGTACATGCAAATCTCTACCATGCTACCCATCACCCTGAAGCAGATGGCCTAACAGAATGATGCAATGTCTTTTTCAGGAAGATTTAGTTCTGGCACCAGCTGGGTAAAAACACTTTGGGGGTCCAAGATAATATCCTCCGAGATGTATATGTTCTGAATCACTGACTAATATATGGTGCTATTTCTACCTAGATTCATGGATTCAAGAATTGAGGGTAGAACTGGGGGTAACTCCTCTTTCTATTTCATTTTTTCCTTCTCCCATTCACCTATTTCTTAAATAAGATGTGTTGCTGTTGGTTAATTTTATATCTTGACAATTAACTTAAAAGATTTACATACTAAGTGACAATCTAGAAACAAAATGAACCCAATATTAAAACAAATGTATTAAAATGAAGGTAAAAAATATTAATGAGGGAAGTGTCAAGAACTGTGGAGGTTTTAAGGTTTTTCTCTACTTGCAACCTGTCAATTCAGCCTGCCATGTTTTCAGGCAGAAGACAAAAGACTCTTGGGCTGGAGACTAAAGATTTTATTACTCACAGCAACAGCAGTAGTCAGGTAGTAAGCATTTTCTTACACTGGTTCCCTGAGTCCCAGTTCCCACAGGGTGACATGAAGAGAGCCAAATGATACTTGCACATGCAGTGAGTTGTATTATAGAAAGAAACCCCAATTTTAGAAAACCTGAAACTTTTATAATGAGAAGTAAGCACGTTTTCCCTTTGCTCCAAAGAAAGACACTAGTGCTATTTCCCAAGGTGACTTGTTATACAAACATCCTTTAGAAGATACTCCAGAACAAAAGTAGACAGTACCTTAGCTTGTCAGACACGTGGAAATGTAAGAGGTCTATGAAGAATCATCTCCCAACAGAAAGTTTCACATATTTTATTGAAAAATCTAAGAAATCATGTGAATCATGTACAGTATTTTCTCACAAGAAAAATTTTAAGCTGGCTTTTGAACGTTTCACAAAAATCGTAAAACTTTTTAATTTTTAAAAGGAAAAAACACAATGAAACTACCACATATTATATGATTTTTGACTTTCCTTGTTCCTAAGGAAAAGGCTGAAAAATATTTAATAAAATTTCTCATGATTTGTGATGCTAAGTACCATACTCTTTAATAAATCTGCTAAAAAGATACAAGGAAATGGGTGGATCAATGCTTTCTTTGTTCAAAATATTTAAAAAAGCTAAAATCTAATGACAACATGTTAAAATAATACACATTTTTGTAGGATGTTACCATTTCTAACGGTTTCTCTACACTATATCAACAGTGCAATGGTGATTCAGTGTAAATCATTACAGTGTTTCATTGTTACAATACTTGTGTTCAAGTACATGTTCATGAGCATGATCAAAGTCTCTATTTTGACTTTTCTTTTCCATTATAAAATAAGGTTATAATTACAGCAGAATTTTCCTATGGATGTCTCTAAATCTGAACCACATTCATAATACATTCTCTAAAAACCTGTTCAACACTATGAGGTTTGTTATGTTTACACATCTCCTGCAGATTACAGAAAATGGGTTAATTCTGCAGCAGGACACCAAAAAACCAAAAATGATTTCTCTCCATATATAACTAAACTATTATGCTAAGTTAGTACACATTCTGTATAACTCAATGCTATTGGTGGGGAGAGAGTAGCACCTTAGAGACAGTCCTAACAAACAAAAAAAATTTTGAAACTCTAATGATATGTTGTTTTTTTTTTCTTTTTCATTTTTTAGGTTACTGGATCCAACTTATTCATTCATATAAAATTATTTATGAAGCCATATAGTATAAATCAAAATGTTTGTATAACCAAAACAAACACCACATTGGATGTCTGGCAGGCAAAAAAAATAAATTAATTTGATTAAATTATATGTAATCTGATAATATTCGGTCTGAAAAACATGCTAGTGTGTGTGTTTATAAATAATGTAATTGCAAAGAGCTGTGAGCCAGCCAGCCTGCTAGAGGTCAACTCTTCTGCTGCAGCTTTTGGGCATAGAAGTCCCTGCATGTCTCACAGCAGCGCTGATACCACCGCATGTCCTGACACAGGTTCTTTTCGCGTATCACCCGGCAGTACACTGGCCACTGATCTCCCAGGCACTTGAACGTCAGAGCAGCTGTGAAACAGAACACATGAATTCAGTACATGGAGACATCATAGGTGTCATTAACAGAAAAAATATTCAATCATTTAAGTGGAGAGATTCTGTACACTCAGACTCCTTTATATGACCTTCTGAAGCTTAAAATACAAACAGATACAGACACACACAGACACACACACATCCTGTAATAAAGGAGTAAAGTGAATAAATAACGTTCTTACTTATAAGCTTTTTTAGAATTATTAAAGATAGACTTCCCAAATTCAGAAGCTTCAAATTTATGGCTTTCATTTACGTTTCTCAAAAGAAACATTAGTAGAGAAGATTGAAAAGAAAAATAAATGTGCTCAATATATCCACTTTTATGAGAATGCTAGTTAATAAGTATTGTTATGAATGAAATTACAAAGAAACAGCAAATAGAAAATATGCTCACACTTAATTCACATTCCTAGATCCCTAGATAATAGACACATCTAGATGGAATATCTGGAGATGGTAATTTCAGGCTTCCATAAAACCAAGTTGATACCAAAAATGACTAAAATTTATAGCTATAAAGTTTTTATTTAAAATGAGAACTTGGTCTAGAAAATTTGGTCATGTATATTTGGCCTCTGTTTTTTTGAAGAAATAGTGTGCTTTGGCATGTATAAGGAAAATCAATCCTACTATAATTCTTTTTTTGTGTGTGTATTAGAATGAACTGTATTCTAAAATGATTTATAATTTTACTTTAAAAAAATCTTAGATGTTCCAACCATTGTGCCTCTGTGTTTTGGGGTACACCTTCAAGGAATAACAAATAGAGAAAATGCAATTTTAGTGAAATTCTTTTAATCCATTATTTTCTGCCACACGATACTTCAATGACGCCAAGTAATTGTTGCAGAAAAGGATTATGCTGTTATTGAATACATAGATTTGGTGCATCTCCTTAACTTTTTACCTTAATTAATCTTATTCTACTTGAATTGATTATTTTTTAGAAATGTTAATTATTTGGCTCTAAAAATAATTTTTGTATTTCCATGAAGAACCAAACTTTTCTATTTGATTGAATCTTATGTCTGAAAAAAATACATACGATAATTTAGCTCCTTGCATTTTGGCGATATTCTGCATGATTCAAATTGTACCCCTGGAGATTATATGCACAGGTTAAAACTGAATGTGTTAAGCATAAATGAACTCACAGTCAGGTAGGAGTGCTGTTATAAGCCACTAATTGCCACAGAAATAAAGCCTAATTTATTCATTAGTATGTATTATGCAAGTGCAGGCTATATTTACTTAAAATACATACTCTACTCCTTGATGATAGATTAAATAACAAGAATTCAGAATATATATGAAAGCATTGCATAACTAAAAAATATATAAATGTCAGTATACTCCCAGTATTTATTTCACATTTAATATTATATTCTCAAAGATGAAAAAAAAAATGGTACCTTTTATTCAGCGTTGTAGACACACACCCATTCTTGAAAGCCAATTTTTTACTCTCTGTATTCCCAAAGGGTAATTTGTACCCGGATCACAAGGAAGGCTATTAACCATGGAGGGCTCTAAGGTTTATACTACAGCCTCACCTTTCCACAGACATTAACTTAATTGATAATTCTACCATGGGACTGGTCTGAACCTAAAATTTGGTTACATCCTGCAACCCTTTTTAAGCTGACCTTGGGTGGTGTTACATTAGTATTTCCTGGACTTTGATCTGACTAGATACCTTCAGGAATCAAAGCAATTTACCTACCTGACCATTTGGACTAAGCCACATTGAAATATCACCAATTTAGTCAGAACCAAACTAATCAATATAAGTTTACAATTCTCAAGCTTTAAAGTGATACTCAAAATAGAAGAAGCCATAAGCGTTTCTATGTTTCTCGAAACCATCCCCTTTTTGTTGCACTTACCTAGTCTGGGTGATGTTATCGTATTTACATTAATCTTCTCATTGCAGGGCTGAAGGTGGCATGGCCTGTATGCTGCAGGTTTTTCTGAAGAAAAACATTCATTTCCATGTCTTCCTGTGATCTTATGCATGCACTGGATAACACGGGACTGCATTCCTTTGCCACAGGTAATTGAACACTAGGAGAGAAACATGTTTGTTAAAAGTTCTTTTTGCTGTTTCCTTTTCCTAGGCTGTGAGCTGCCTTCTATTTCTATTTCTTAAAATTAAACATGAGCCAGGACATCCACAGTCAATGCAAAACATGGGTCAGAGATGTTGATGCATATAACTTGAGCACAATGCTGTTGAAAACCTCTAGCTTATCTAAGGCAGAGCTTTGGGCAATATATGGACAAAGGAGAGTAAAGGATAAAGATAGTTGGAGAGTGTGACTTGAAGGATAAGAGAGTGAATGACACCAGTAATGCTTGGGCAGACAGTTTTCAAGGGTCTAGTGCTCAGCCTTCCAATGAATCCTACGTATTAACTGAACATGTACTCTTTCAAAATTTATCTACATATATACTCTCGCTGGATAAAAATCTTTGATTACTGAGTTCACCATTGCCTACGAGATAATGCCCAGCATCCCAATATCTCCAGGCTGGCATTCATCTACCTCTTCAACCTCATTTTCCACCCATTCCCATTAATAATAATTGTGCTATTATAAACTAATCATTTCCATGCAATTTCTATTCCTACCTTTACAACTATGCTCACAGGACTTTTCAGAAAAGACTGAACAACTGAAAGTACCTTGCCTCTCTTCAAAACACAATCTCAAATGTACCTCCTCTATGAAGGTTTCACATTATTCCAGCTACCTCTTCATATTTATGCAAATATTTATGGATTAAATCATATATCCATTTACCGAGGATACAGTTCAGAATCATGTGGAGAGATTTTTAAAAAAATTATAGATTTTAAGGCATAAAATTTCTAACTTAATACACTCAAGTGGGTCTGGGAATTTGCATTTAAGAAAAAGTATCTTGGTGATTATGCTGTGCAGCCTGAGTTTGGAAAATACTGGTCAAAAGCATGTGTTCTGTATTTAAAGCTAATTTGTATTGCTTTTTTTCTTTAAGCAGTACCTTTTAATGCATTTGATTGGTCTCCTTAGCTAGACAGTTAAAGGCTCATTGTCATATCATGTTCAATAAAAAATATCCACATTTCAGGTATAAAAATAGCTTATACAGAATGAAGGAATTTTATGTGCCTGTCATTAACATGAATCTTCAGATAACTGATTTAAGTTTTACTCTGTAAATATTTCTGCATGATAGTCTCTTTGTATCTGATGCATTCTTAGCTTTCTGCAAATAGCAGATCAAAGAACAACTAAGATGTTACATTCCTTTAAACCTGACTTTTCATCATTAACTTCTACAGGATCTGAACGTTTCTAGTTCAGTGTAAACTTTATTATAATTTATTTTTATTTTTTGCTTAATGAAATGTAATTGATTATACATATTTGTCGGGTACAGAGTTGAATATCAATATCTGTGTACAACATATGATAATCAAATCAGGATAATTAGCATATTTGTCATTACAAAATGTAATTATTTCTTTGTGATGAGGACACTTGATCGCCTCTCTTCTAACCATTTGATAACATGCAGTAAATTAATGTTAATTATATATGCCTAGCTCAACTATAAATCAAAGAACTTATTTTTCCTATCTAGCTTTTTTGTGTCCATTATCAATTTCTCACTGTCCCCCCATCCTCTCCCCCTTTCCTGCCTCTAGTAACCACAGTTCTGTTCTCTCTTTCTGAAAGTTCAACTTCTTTTCATGATGTTTTCTTTCTTTCTCTCTTTCTTTCTTTCTTTCTTTCTTTCTTTCTTTCTTTCTTTCTTTCTTTCTTTCTATTTAAAACTATTGTAACTGTTTGACATGGCTTTTCTCCCTTAAAAGTCTTAATCTCAATACCACTTTATGCAATAGATATACTATAATTACATAAATAAAGACATCATGCTTCTTAGAAAAATATTTTCATGAAAATGCAAAACAGTTAAACTAAAAGTAAAAGTTAAAGGGTTAAGATTATATGAAAAAATACTGTTCTAGTATCTACTAAAATTTCTGTAGATCTTGAAAGCAATCACCATGTTTGAGAAACCAAAAGAATAACAGAAGCTTTAGAATAGATAAATTCACTCTGATGTAATTAAGAATTCTCAATCACATTTCAAAGAGGTCTAGTAATCAGTCACACACTATTCCTGATACTTTGACTAATCTTATGTAATCAACTCCAAAAGACATGAGCAAACTGAAGGAACACTCATTTTTCAGAATTATCAAAAATAAAATAAAATAACTATAGACACATGATAACTCAGAATATATAATTTTAGCAGATAATGGCTGGAATAGTGCCTTTCATAAAAATTTGGGAAACTTAAAGTTTCTTTCCTTAAAGAAGTTCTATAATTCATTTAACTAAGATGGTGTAGTTTCTTTTGAAACTAATAGAATAAGCTTTATTGTTAAATAATTTGATAGCCTTAGAATCTAATTTTAATTAGAATGCTTTAATAATAAAAATATCAAGCTCTTACTAGTAATTATTTTTCTTATGAAATATAACTTGGTAAAAATTTTGTTACAAATGTGTGGAAAATAAACTGATATTTGAAATGAAACAACTGAAATTTACAGTATTGTCTAAACTAGTTATTACTTTTATTATAGAAGATGATACTAAATAATTGGATATTTTCTCAAATGATTTCACTATGATTAAAGACAGACAGACATGAAAAGAAAAAGCCAAAATAATTCTGGCCTTGCAATCAGGAGACCTGGCTTCTAGCATTGTCTCTAGCAACTAATTAACCTAATTAACGTGGGACTTATTTTTCCTTTTCGTTATGGCATTGCAGTAGATCATAGCTACAGTTTCAGGTCTAAATTGGTATCGAAGTAAAAATTCCAGATAATTTATTATTAAAAGTCACTATAGTCTAGAAATTTTTAAGTGCTGAAGCTATGTAAGAGTAAAGTCTCTAATCTCATTAAGTAATTATTTACTGTGCCACCTGTCAGTGGTATGACAGAAGTTCTGTCAAAGTCTTAAAATTATAGTTTACTTGAATGTCCCAGAATATTCCATCATTGATTGGATTTTCAAATATTTATTGACCATCCATTATGTTCAGGGTCCTGTGCAAAAATAAAAATAGCAGAGATTATTTGTACTCTGAATCTGATTATTTTATTCAATAAACTTTATTAAGGAAACACAATGACATAAAATAGATGGAGTTAGAAGCAGATTACTAACCACCACAGAAACTGGGCAATTTCATCCATTGTTAGACATTTGTTTAAATATAATATTTAAATAATCAGTTGCACTACAAAGCCACTTTACTACTTTGGGATCAAAGAAAACCAATATTACAACTTCTGAAAGCTTTATACAATACTAACAGTAGCTATGATTTCGTCAGTATTTACTATATGCCAGGAGTGTGCTAGAGGTTATATTTATTTTAATATTTCATATGAAGCCCGTGACAACTATTATTATCACTTTTTTTTTTTTTTACTTTTTTTGTGACTGGTAAGGGGATCACAACCTTTGGCTTGGTGTCGCCCGCACCACTCTCAGCCAGTGAGCGCACCAGCCATTCCTATATAGGATCCGAACCTGCGGCGGGAGCGTTGCTGCACTCCCCACAACGCACTCTCCCGAGTGTGCCATGGGGTTGGCCCTATTATCACTTTTAAACAGATGAGAAAATAGAGGCTAAAATAAGTTAAACAAGTTTCTCAAAGTTTTACAGCTAGGACATGTTGGCATTGGAGTTTGAACTTAAAAACTTTCTTCTTTCCTCTCTTTCTTTCTCTCTCCTTCCTTCCCTTCTCCTTTCTCTCAGTCTTTCTTTCTAAAAAATTTCAAGTCTTTCTCTTCCTACATGTTATCAAGTAAATTTAAAATATATTCGAAACAAGGCGGCATGATAGGCTTCCATTAAAGGCCAAAGTGCTAAAATGTCAACATTAATTTGCCAGTAACTGGTAAAGAAATGCAGGGTATACTGGAGAACTTGCCATTGATACTTCTTTTACAAGGAAAACTTCTTGACTAAAGTGTTTTTAAAAGAGAGACTTTGTACTGTCTGATAAATACTCTGTTCCCCAAACTATTGCTCCTAAGGACCTTTGAAACAAAGCACCTCAAAAATCAACTCCATCAACTAAAAGTCCCTAATTCTGAACAGGAAACACAATCATGATGTATCAGGCTTACTAGAGTGAAAAGCAAGTAGGAATCTTTAGAACAAACTTAAACAGCTTAGAAAATTGTTCACGAGAATTTTGAAGTTAAACAGATCTTTTGAGAGAGATATAACAAGGCACAAGGAAAACTGATATTGGTAATCCCTCCTCTCCACCAAAAAAATAAACCCCCAAATCTCTAAAAGTAAAATTTTACTTAGTGAGATTCATCATTTCAATTTACTTAAGAAAATTATGATCTTCCCTGCAATTAGGTACACATGAGTAATGCATTTAGATAATTTCATCATAGATTTCTCTTACAATGGAATATATCTTTCCTTGCCCTGAGACATTAGTGACAATTCCTAAGACTGTATTACATTATTTCTATACTGCAGCTCACATGTCAAACACTAAACATGATAAGAGAAGATTCTCAATAATTTAAACAGTTTGGAATATCGAAATGATTAGGGAAATAGTTTAGTAAGTGAGAACTACAAATACAAATGTTAGCAAAGCAACTTGGTAACAAAAGGCTTCATTTTTTAAAATGAGATATATATTATCAAATCTTACCATTTCCATTATCTAAAACTTTATTTCCTTTCTGTCATTCTTTTGCCAGGTAATAAGAGGTGACTGAATTTATTTTCCCTAAGAAAATTTCATCTAAATAAACTAACTAAAAGGGAAATACCTGGGGAAATATAAGCAATGTCTAAGTTTGTGGACGTGTACAGTAAAAGTTTACTTAACTCAAATGTTTATGTTTTTTTTCTGAAAATGACCAAGAATGATCTAGTAATAGAATAGACAAGAACTCTTAGACAGTTATAAGTTAGATGATAGTACTCAGTAGATAGGGTTTGCCAGTACTAAT